CCTTTTGTTACATTTAGCTTCTAGCTAAACATTTGCTACTTTGAACTACAGTAGCTATTTGCTACTAAAAWCTAGCATTTTGATTATATCTATTAGTTAGCCTTTTGATACTTTTAGCTTTTAGCTAGAGTTTGCTACATTTAGCTTGCATTTTTTAACTTTTAGCTAGGGTTCAGTTCTTTTGGCTTTAGCTAGTGTTTTGCGCCTTTTAGCTTTCACTCTTCAGCAAATTGCAGCAAACTGTTTTAGCACTCAGAATTCACGCTGCATTTTTGCAGAAAATCCCATTAATCCAGTTTAATTAGATTTGTTGGGATGTATCGGGCAAATCCTCTGAAAGATCTGACAGCGCTACATTTATCTGTTTGAGTTCAGCTCAATTTGGCCATCACTGTGCAGATCTGAGTCGTTGCGGTAACATGCCAATTTTCCAAAAAAACTTTTGAGAGCATGAAGAAATCAGGCGAAAACATGTGTAGCAGAAGACATTTACGCAACGCCAGAGGCTCCCAAAACTGGAGTTTCTTCCAGAGCCGTGCTTTAGCATGCCAACATCTGGTTTTGCTTGATTTTGGGCAGGAAATTGTAAATGAGTTCTGGCTCACATCTGGTGTCTGTTTTGTTGTGTGAATGCGTCTCCTGTCGCAGCGCCTGTGTGAGTCTGTGTGCAGGGCAGCCCACAGTTTATGCTTTGTCCAGCAGAAGACGGGAAGATATTTCGACACAGATTTAGACTTCAGTTTTTGACCCGAGGCAGAGAAWCATCGAGCCCATCATGTGTTCAGAGAAAGGGTCTGTGTGTTGCTTTGGACAGCATCCAAATGTAGAGCCTCTTATGTTAAACAGCTGCTCTCACGGCCTTCAGACACTTCTGTAAATAAGACCCCCTACATGGCAAAAAAATCCAACATGCACACTTGTGTTGTAACGGTTTTAAAAAATAAGCAAAAAATGGACTCCTTGTTAACACACAGAAAATGTTATATAATATACATTTCTCATCCTTTCCAGGTGTGGCGCGATGCAGGGACTCAGGTGTTCTTTTCCTACGCCGTGTGTCAGGGAGTCCTCACAGCTCTGGGAAGCTACAACAAATACAACAATAACTGTTACAGGTTCGTGTCCTCACACCTCAGATGTGATCTTCACCCCCGCACATCCCCCACCCCAAACGGCGTTGGCTTATCTTCTAGTCCTGTCGCAGGGATTGTCTGGCTCTGTGCTGTCTGAACAGCGTCACCAGCATCTTCGCTGGTTTCGCCGTCTTCTCGGTGCTCGGGTTCATGGCTCACGACCTCAACATTCCTGTGAGTGAAGTTTCTGCCAGTGGTGAGTTAACTGCAGCTCCTCCACATCGAGCTTTGTAAGACAAAATGTAGACAGTTTAAGAAGAAAAAGGCTTTTCTCCTTTAATTTATTTTTTAGCCCAAGTGCTGACAATACCCCACAACCACCACTAGATGGCATCTCATCTTTACAAACAGTTCTAACTTAGCCTCAAGACATTAACATTTATTTATTTTTCTTATTTATTTTAAGCCATTCAGTTTAAACCAGCAGGGCTGTGTTCACATGTACCCCCCTCAGGTCCTGGTCTGGCCTTCGTAGCCTACCCCAAAGCTTTGTCATTGCTTCCCGGCTCGTCTTTCTGGGCTGTGCTATTCTTCCTCATGATCCTCTTCCTGGGCCTCGACAGTCAGGTATTACATGCAACACGCTCCACGTTGTAATGATTTTCATTGTTTTTGTTCTAAATATATTTTTCACMCTCGTTCTTACAGTTTGTGTGCGTGGAGAGCCTGGCCACAGCCCTCACAGACCTGTTTCCAAACCGTCTGAGGAGACCGGGTGCCAGGGAGAAGCTGGTCCTGGTCATCGCTGTAGCTTGCTTCCTGCTGGGGCTGATGTTTGTTACTGAAGTAAGCCGGACGCTAAGTTTTCTCTGTAGACTTACAGCTTGATGAATATCTTTGTTAGTTATTTTAACTTGCTCTTCYTTCTTCTTTATATCTTGACTGCGTTGCATCTTTCAGGGAGGGATCCACATCTTCGAGCTGGTTGACACCTTTGGTCCGAGTGGAACCAGCCTTCTTCTGATTGCTTGTATAGAGACCATTATAATTGGCTGGCTTTACGGTAGGTGTCCCTGATATTAGTTACCTGTTTTTGATTTTTGCATTTTGTTTTAATGATCAAAATCCTTGAAATCTTTTAGGTTCTTATCACGATTAACTGTTGAGCACAGCTCTGTCAGGTGTTTTTTCACCAGAGGAAAATCTTTACAGAGACGGCTGCTCCACCTACTGGGCTAAAATTAGAATTACCATGAAGTTGGGTCTTAGACTAAAACAATCAAAAAAGTGAATATTTTATATTTTGCTTCCTTATGTTTGTGCAGGGATAACAGAACAGAAGCATTAAAAACAGTTTTCAGCTTTCCTCTGGTGTTGGTGTGAATGAGGCTGTGAGCTCTTGTCACTTCCTGCTCTGATTTCAGCAGCTTCATTATAATAATGTGGGCGGAGAGTTGTTCTGCTGAGCTTTTCTCTGCTTATTGTATGTATTTCAGCTTTCTCTGTGATAATAAATAGCTACATTTAAATCACTTGTAGATATATTTTATTTTTTTTGTAATGAGCTTTCAAAAATGTCCTCTCCTGTTAACGGAGGACAGTTACTCTCCTCCCTCGTAAAGGTGTTCAGAAGTCTGAGGGTTGATTACGACCTCATCTATTGAACGGCAATTCCATTTGCTATTATGCATTTGCAGAAATCAATTTGTGGCCGTTCTTCCATTCAGYAGGTCCATTATATCCATTTTCTCTTGTTTTTATGTCCTTTCTCTCTGTGGCACCTAAAGGTGAGTTTCTCCTCTCATCTCATGCTTAAATTTATCCCATCCGTCTCTCCTCATCTGCACCAACTTCTCTATGTCATTAGTGGTCAATTCATCATTATTTTGAGCTTTTTTTTCTTTTATGTATTCTTTTATATATTACTTTTCTCACAAATGCAATCAAAAAATAACACTTTAATTTATGCCGTAATTCAGTTAAAAGCAACAAAAGTGAATGAAAACAATGTTTACTTCAGGTCAGGTGTGCAGATATTAATAGTTTGCTGTCTAATAAATAGATATTGTTTTTTACAGATGTGATCAGTTTTTACTCTAGAATAAATTTTACACACTGCTAAAATAAAAGCAGAATTAGACCATATTTAGGTCTCCTGTGAATTGAAAATTCACTTCAAAAGGTTCGTTAACAGTGCCAGAAATATGAGTTTATAACTTTATTCAGTGAAAGCCACTTTGCAAATCATAAGATTTTATGGTGGCTGTTTGACAACTTTGACTTATGATATCACATTAACTATTTAAAACTGTTGTGCTTTAAACACATAAAATAAGTTACCAGACTATGTGGTTTGAGGCAGAAATATGTATGTATGAGGTTAAAATGTCAGCATTAAGAGAAGTCAGGAACACCTAACATTTTACAGTTGTTGGACCTAAAGACCTAAAGGCAGGGAGGTGGATGCAAAACAAACTCAAACCCAAGGGCTCTGCTTTGTTAGTTRCTAAAAAGAGATTATATGTAAAGTAAAACACCTCTCGTCTTTGACTTTACACTTTCCAGGTGCGGACCGTTTCTATGATAACATTGAGGACATGATTGGGTACAGACCACTGCCTCTGCTGAAGTACTGCTGGTTGTTTGTCACCCCGCTCATCTGTGTGGTATGTCTTCACACCTCAACATTCCCGTTTCCACTCCCAACTTTATTGATATTGATATTTCACATGACTAATATTGCTTAGTGCATATATTTTCRCTTTCATGTCTACTTCTGTTCTGCAGCTCTGGACATTTAATGTTTGCTTAGATTTTAATTTCTCCACATCAGAGTTTACCTTTTAAATTGACAAAAAGTAGGGTCATTGTGTCAATTGTAAAACAGAATACAATGATTTACAAATCTCATCTATCCATGTTTCCTTAACAATGAAACAAAGTGAACAAATCAGACATTTAAATTGGGAAATGACAACATTTTTAGGGGAAAAAATTAATAATTTAGAATTTTATGGCATGACAGCAAAATCCTGCCTCTCTWATGGTATAGGGGTACATTAGTGCCCATAGTTTGARCAGCTTACACATCTGGAAAGGCACCATCAATCCAGTAAAGTATGTACAAGTTTCATATGTRCCCATCCAGGGAAGGTTTTGCTTATTTCAGCAATAAAATCCTGAACCTCACACTGTAAACAGCATGGCTTCATAGTGATTGTCACTCATTTTTTATTGTTCAGCTTTCTAGCTCGTCTCTTTCTTTTCTCTTAGATTACAATGGTGTATAACCTGACAAAAGAAAACCCTGTCAGTCATGATAGATTGTCTGGAGCCTGGGCTACCATGATGGCTGTTATCCTCATCGCCACGCCCATTTTATGCATCCCAGCATTTGTTTTCTACTCATTGTGGAAAGTACGTAAGCTTGGATTTTGTTTTCTTCACATTATCTTTTCAAATGCATTTGATTTTTTTTAAAAAGTTAAAGCTGTAAATGTGTCTGTGTGTAACATTTCAACATTTTTTTTCAACCAATAAGAATCCCAACAACTTGATAACCCCGTCCCAAGACCTGCGCCAGGTTTCCCCCCACAGCCCCGTGCTCACGCTGGGCCACCTCGTCATCTTTAAAGGACAGAGCCGACCGACGAGTAGGGCGGATGAAACGAACGAGAAGTTGATGATGGAGGAACGGAACAGGGTTTGATGTCAACTATGATTTACGTACATTAAAAAAAAACATTTTTCATATGTTTACAGAACTTCTTTAAAGACTATTTTTCATCATTCCCYATAAAAATTCTGCATTTTTTGAACCAAAGCCACAGGATGAGCTTTTTTTTYCCTTTTTTTTCTTTTTTGGCCAAACCTATCACTAAAAGGAYTAATAATAAAAAGGGACTTATCAGGTTGAGAATGTCCCCAGGACCTCCATCCAGTCTCTGTCATCCTCCCACAACTCTCTGCTGGAAATGATTCATCACACGGATCATTCAAACAAAAGCTGCTTTGTTCATTAATATCAATGACAAGTTAATTTACTATTTACAGCATTAAAGGGGCAATATTATGTGTTTCTCAGGCATATATTTAAATTCTATGCCATAAAAAAGTAACTATGTCACCTTCAGTTNAATCCTGGTCCTCGAGGGACACTGCTCCACATGTGTTCCTTGTTCCCCGGCTGCAACGCGCCTGATTCAGTGAATGAATTACTTTTTCAAATTCTGTTTTTCTTTTAATCGCCCATTCATGCACATCAGGCGTGTTGGAGCAGAGAAACTTGAAACCTGCAGGACTGTGGCACTAGAGCACCAGGATTTGACCCTCCTGATCTAACTGCTTGCAATATGTTTAGAATTGTTGAAGCTCATTTACAGATTCTCTGCATAATGAAATAGCACAGCTAGCTGTAATTGGAAAGGGGGACATCTGTAAAAGATGTATCCTGATGTCATATTATGCTTTGGGAACAGTTACAGAGGAATGCATCTTTAGAGTGTTGAGGGTGTAGATATCAGTCCTACGTCAGGTCAATGAAAACATGCCGGTGGTTAGAGGACAACATGAACCATTCAACTTATATCCAGACCGTAAAGCTCTGTCAAGGTTTTAATGGTAGACGTTTGTCCTCCATGTTCAAATATATCCTTTGTTTGTGAGTTTTGTAAATGTTTTGACTGTGGAGCGAAATGCTAAAGTTTGGAAACATTAAAGGCTTCACACTCCTTAAAAGAGTGCACATTACCATGTTTCACGACTCTGCTTTGTTCTGTGTGGAGGTTTCAATACATTTCAATACAGAAAAAATAAAATGTATCCTCTGCCTTGCACTAAAATCATTTTGGAGCATTTTCCCTTTTTGTTTGGGTTTTTAATACCTGACATTTAACATTTATGTGTTCCTCAGGCATATATTTAAATTCTTTAACATAATCAACTATGTCACCTTCAGTTGTTATTAAAATGCTGTTTATATATTTAAATAGAAACTAAACTTGACTTCTCATCATATCTGTTTCTAAATGCCTTGAAATTGGCCTCTGTCTCTTTAAGAACCTCCTTCTGCTTCTGTCCCGCCCATTTCAGCATGGGGTGGGTGTGTGTGTGCTCTGTGATGAGGAAGCTCAGCTTGGACACAGCCCAGAGGAGGAGCTGACCCCAAAAGGCGGTTCTAGTCCCAACTGGTCGTTTTTGCTGCCCTGCCTGGCTGCCTCAGGACAGCACAGGTTTTCTCAAACATGCATGAATGAGTCAAAGCAAAACTCTGGGCATGTTTTTAATGAGAGGGTAACATTATAACATGATATAAAACTAAAAAAAGGTGGATTTTACATGACATTGCCACTTTAAGTAATTTGTTTGAAAGTGTACAGCTCAAAACTCCAACTTCTTGTCACAACTCTTTTAAATTTGTACATTTGTTAAATTTGTTTGTGTTTTTATTTCATGTAGACAATTAGCTTTATAGGTTGCAGTAAAAGTATCAATATGTTAAATACTGGTGTGAGTGTTTTTGATTCTGTTCTCATGGATTTTTCTGAGCAGACAGGGTGAACATTCAGCAGCAGTATTACAGGTTTCTTCCATTTCACACTCACATACGTTACTTCTATTTTCTGACGCTTTAAACAAAACTGTAAATCCCAGTCATCATCATTTTGAACTAAACTGACATTTCGCTCCCTCGTCTCCCACCTCACGTCACCTCTGACCCCACCACTCCGCTTTCAGGATGATTTTGAGTCCAGTGGACTTGTTCAGCAATGACTCAGATGAGCAAGCTCAGTTTAAATTAACGACCAAACCAACAAACGGAAGTCATATAGGGTCAGGCCCCCACTGTGTATTGATGAATTTATGCTCAGATTCCTGCTCATCAGGAAATCAACTAGGCCTTTCCAAGTCGGGTATTTATAATTAGCATGTCTACTAATAAGCTTTTACATAACCATCATCTGCTGTTGCACAGAGCAATGATCACTGCAATGGAAAACCCAAAACTTTGTGTGTGTGTGGTGGTGGTTGTGGGTGGGTGTCAAAATGTCATCTAAATATAGAAGACAGCTAGTAGGACATCGACTGAAGATGACAATCAATTTTTAGTTTCTGATTTCACATGAAATTTTCTGCTAAAATAMATCAAACAGATGATAGCATGAAGCAAAAAAGCCAAGGCATATTAAATTCTTGTTACATAAAAGTTAAGTCTTCTCTCACAACATGTCCTTCTGAATGCATTCAGTGTTTGAAGGACATTTGAAACACAGTCGTTTAGTCTAAAACGTTTAAAAAAGCGCTTGATGTTTTCATCTGAGGTTTTCGTAGAGCGCCTCGACGCGGTTCGTTTCTGCTCACACAAAAGACAAAGACCGCGTTTTAAGCTGGAGCGTCTCGAGACATTTGCAATAATGAAATGTGACTCAGAGGTAATGGAAGGCGTTCGCGTTGTGCTTCAGGAGCAGGGTTCGACTTGTCCTGTGTGCAGAGAAGCTGCATCAGAAAGTGCAGACGATTCAATGCCCGCTGTCACTTCTTTTATCTGATGTTCTTTGTCTTCCACCTTTTTGTTTATTGGAACAGCTTTTCCTGCGGTCYTATAGCTATTTTCCCATTTTCTTTATCTTTTTTTATATCTGTTTTTCCTGCTTATCTTCACAGGAACCACATCAACTTTCCCCATTTGTTTTTACTCTGCACCTGAACCAATATCTATACCTTTTCTCCTCGCTCTCTGCAGAGTTTTCTCATCTTTTTACAATCTCTCCTCGTTAATGCATTCGTTCTCGCCCTGCTGTGCATTTCACCCCTCGTTTGTCCTTAACTTGTGGAAATGTATGATGTAAGCACCATCCTGCTGCAATATGGGATGAAAATATTAGCAATATTAGCCTCCTCTCTGTGCATGCCAATCACCTCTGGGCGCTCCTCGCTTTATAATAGCCTCCACATCGATTCACAGACCATAAGACGTGCTGTGAATTAAAGACTGCCTCAAAGACAGCAGTGTTGTTATTATTTTTTTTCATTTTCTATGATTTTTGTATTATAACTTGTTTCACCGGATGTTTGTGTTATATAAGGAGATTTTATTTATTTATTTGGTTTCAAATTAAACTGCAATCTAATTTTTGAAAGGACTCGAACATCGAAATGCTTGAAAACAGTTTTGAAGAAGCACTGTAATCTTTGCTGAAGGCAGTTGTTTTCATTTCTAGTTATGAAATCATGAAACTTAAAAAAAGAGAGGATAAAACATAACCAAACTTGTCAAAGTGATCTAGTTTTCATAACTCCAAACGCGAACCAAACTTTTGCTTTCATGACATCCTGTCCATCTAGCCTCTGTCGCCCACATAATTGCTCCCTATTATTCTTGGCCGTGGACGCTCTGGAAGCATAATTAGGCTGCATCGACTGTGGGGTGCTGTAAACAAGTTGATGAAAACCAGCTTTGACAAGTCCAATCCTGCCCAGTTGTCATCACTTGGGTCCGCACGGAGAACAAACCTTGTCAAAGATTACTCTGAATCTTCCTCTGGCAGGAGCTTTTATAGCAACCGGTATAATTATGCTCATAATAGCCTTTTAATCTTTGACTTTTCAAACCCCACCAACTATTTTTTATCACCAGGAAAACAATGGAGGGCGTGGTAATGATTATTAGCTTTGGAAATTGGCTTTTTATAGATTAAATGAGCTTGATAACAAAGAAGACAAGAGGTTTACCTACCAGGAAAAAAGGGRACATTACATGTAAATCTAGTAATACTGGTAAAAACATTTATTTTTAAATGAGACTAAAGCAGTGGTTCCCAAACTTTTTATCTTCTGACCCACAAAATATTCATGGCAAAAACTTGTGACCCCAAATATTACTGGTCTGAGTGCATGAACTTTGTTAATAACCTTAAAAACACAGGCTTTTTGACAATCTAAACAGCTTGTACACAAATATAAATACTTATTCATACTTATTTTGTGTTTTTGTAATAAATACAGGGAAAATATTACAGCAGCAATTATTTTATTACCCTTTAAATTGATTTCTGGAGATTATCCACGGTGCTTCATGACCCATAATTGGGTCCCAAGCCCAACTTTGGGAACCAAAGTGCAGTGGTTCCCAAACTTTTCAGCTTTTGACCCTCAAAATAACAGTAGAGACCTGTGCCCCCAACTGTTTCTGGATGATAAACATTTGTATCAGGTCAACTAAACATGGGCATAGTAACAATATTTTTTTATACTACATTTATCCATTTTAAATACACTAACCTCACTCCTTTGTAACAACWAAGGCAAAAATGTAATTAATTCAGAAAATCTTTTCAGGACCCCACCTTGATRTTTCGGGACCCCACTTTGGGTCCTGACCCCAACTTTGGGAAAGACTRGACTAAAGTACCCAGCATCCCTACATTCACCATGACATTACAAATCTGTAATTACAGATATTGCCCGTATGATTTGAAGATCTAGTATTACTTACAAATTTGCATAGTTTTGGTCAAACCTTTAAAGTAGTATTATCCATGATCACTTTCATTCTCACATAGGCTCAGAATGTGTGTTAGCTAAATATCTGTACAACTGACTGAGTTTATAACTGTTTTTGGTGTTATTTAAAGTCTAATAGCTGTGGTGTCCTTCTTGAGTTGGATTGGCTCCAAACGTTAACTGAATGTAGATGTGAGTTCATGACTTCCTCAATTCAACCGGGGGKTAATGGTTGCACTTTTTTCACATTTAGTGCATTCTACTCGCATTTAGGGGGAAATGCCAACTGTTGAATCTGTATCTAAATATTATATCTATATTTATATTTTAGATCTATTTCTGTCCCTTATCTATATACAAATTTTTTATTTATATCTAAAACTTAAATCTTAAATCTATACACATCTTTTATGAGTATGAAATCTAAATATACAGTATATAATATCTTTACTGTAAATCTTAAATCTAAATGAATATCTTAAATCCTATACGCTTTTAATCTAAATCTATATCTTTTTCATACATCTTAAATTTATATTTAGCATTTCCCACTAAATGTGAGAAAAAATGCACTAAATGGGAAATTGCACTAATTGAATTTTTACAGTTGGCACCCTATACTTGTTAGCATTGCGTTAAAATATGTGACCCATCAAAGCAAACTGAGGATTAAGTCAAATATGGTCAAAACGACCTCAGCACACTTTCAGATTCTTGTTTTCTAAGTTAAATTTTGATACCTGGATCATCCAGATATCATGATTGTTCCAAAGCCTTGATTTGCGTTTCTACTCAGGATAATCCATTAATGTGGTTTTAACCCCAATTTAAGATTACTAATGAACATTAATAAACAAACATCAACTGCCAGAAACAAATTCCTTGTGTGTGTCAACATACTTGGCCAATAAAGCTGATTCTGATGAGACTTTTTGAAGCCGTTTTAAAGAGGAAACCTCAAGAAATTTTTGGATATTAAGATTTCCCAGCTGGAAATTAAAAAAGGCTTGACTGATTGAAATTGAAGACTTTTCTGCTCAAAATCATGTTTTTTTTGTAGCTACTGCTCAAAAATGAGCTTCAAAACATTATTTAGGATTATATTTCAGATATTTGATACAAATAACTCTAAGTTAAAAGATTTTTAAATTCTTTTTTTTGACAAAATGCAGTTGTTGCAAACCAAAAGCTTACTTATTTCTCCACATATCACTTTGTGACTTAATCTTCTGCTCAATGTGATGGGTCGCATATGTCCTCCGGTTAATGAGATATTTTGCTAACACACAGGATTGCTAGCATTTTATTACAGTGGGTGACAATAAATGTGTTGTTTTTTCTACTTGCACTTGTTTAGCTGTCACACACCGGTAAAATTGTCTTTCGGAAGCTTTAGTCATTTGCTTCACGCTTCGAAAAACCTTTTATATGTTTAAACATTGAAAGTATTTTTGTTCACTTTAAAGTAGCCTCTACACTGCATCACTGTGCGTTGATTTCAGYGTCAATAAAAGGTGAGCATCGGGTCACTTCATGTGTTGATTCAGTCAGAATCTGATACAGGCCTGACCTCGTTTGAGCTCCTACGTTTCCAAAGCCTCTGCCAGCAAGCCATCGCTGCTTTCATTTTCCAAAAAACCTCCATGAGTTCTTTCACTGCTCGGGCTTTTCTGTCACCAAAAACCATGGTAACACGGCTGGCAGGAGCTGACTGCAGCTAATGCAGCAAACACCAACACACACACACACACACACAGCTACTGCTGCAAAAGTTCCCCACCAGAGCTGGGCAATTGACGATSTGCAACCCCCAAGGGCCGCAGGGCTTCAGCGGCCAGATTTGAGCTGTAATCAAAGCGGACAAGTCGAACTTTATTATCAAGCACTCGATACGAGCTGCAGGATCTGTCGACTGCAAACGACAGCACACATSAGAGTTTGAATATGACTTGGACTGGGCTTTAAGGACCGACACCAAACTTTGCTGCTTTTTAGTTCGGTCTTAAATTGAACATTTGAAACTTTTCATGCTGCTGCTGCGAAGTGTTGAAGCTGATGACTTGACGAGAGGGCCTGGAAACCTTTCAGGTAGGATCAATGGAGTTTTATCTTCTTGCATAATTAATTTGATCAYGTCTGTCAATGAGCCATAACAAGTTGACACTTCTCTTGTAATAGTTCATCTAAACGCTGGAGAAAAGATCTTGTCATTGAAAGCTTAAACTAAACATTGCTTTCAATCAAATTACATGCTTTGCTCCTTAATGGGTTTGCTTTTGATGCACCTGTTTTTTCTCTATTTTAGATAACTCTTTTTCTAATAATTTCATAGTATTATGCCAAGCTGCAGCTTATAACTTGTTAYACAATGTTGAAGACTTCCACTGCAAATTAATCATTTTTTTTACGTTTATAGCGTACAGTTTAGAGCAAACTTTGCTAATACGTTATATTTGTAAATCGACACAATTGCCCTTCAAAGGGTCATATTGCAGCTGAACATGATTATGGTTAAAATGTATAAATTCAATACTCAAGCCTAATGTGGATACTGTTAAAGGATGATATTCTAAAAAAGAAAAAAGAAAATCATGTTTTAGCAGACATTAGCTTCTGGCAGGTGTACAAATCAGCAAGTGATCTGTAATYAACCTCGATTCCATTAAGAAAGCTGACGATTTTTAGGTCAGTCAATAATTGCAAATAGAAACAGTTCGTGCTCAGACAGCAGGAGATGAAAAAGTGTGGATGTAAAATGAAATGAAATGCAGATATCCTTAACTTACACTCTGATTTTTTGCAGTCCCTCTTCACAGTGGTTCCCAGCACATCCCTTTGACTCTGCCTGGGGCCCAGAGTGGGACACGCAGTCGGGCATCAACAGGCCGTGAGGACAAACGGGCTTTTGGACCACCAACGTGGTCCCGCGATGGGGAAGACTGGGCAGAGCACAGTGGACTTGAACTCGCCATCAGAGGTCAAACAAGCCGTCCCCTCTGAGGAGCTGGAGCCTGCGGTGCCCCCTGAAGATGAGACGCTGAAAACGGGGGGTCTACCTGAGCGGGGGAGCTGGAAGGGGAAGTTTGATTTCCTGCTGTCGTGTGTGGGCTACGCCATTGGTTTAGGAAACGTCTGGAGGTTTCCTTATCTGTGTGGCAAAAATGGTGGAGGTGAGTACAATCCGAACTTGTTTGTATTTACCAGGATGATTTCATCACGTTTAATTTTTAAAGGTTACAAGAAACAAAAAACAAAGTTAACAGGGACAAAAAGAGCATTAGTCCTCTAATTTAATTTTCCTACACTATTATATGATTTTTACCTGTTCGTGTGAACAGGTGCCTTCCTGATCCCATACTTCATGACCCTGGTGTTTGCTGGGATACCTCTTTTTTTCCTGGAGACAGCTCTGGGACAGTTCACCTCCGTGGGTGGACTGGGGGTGTGGAAACTCATCCCCATGATGAAAGGTAACAATCAAGTGTTTAATTCTGTTCAGAATGATCAAAAAATAAAGAAAAAAACTTCTACTGGGCATTGTCTTACTTTCTGCTCAGTTTACTATGTAACAGAAATATTTTCTTGCAGTTCTATACCAATATGCCTGTAAAATTCATGGTGTTTGGAGATCAAAAAGAAACTACTAGAGATATATTAAAAATATGTGATGCTGAAATTGAACGAGTGTCTGAAATAAAATTTTTAGGGATTATTATTGATTCTAAATTAACATGGAAACAACATGTTAAATATATAAAGGAAAAGATAGCAAAAACAATAGCCACATAAGTCCAGAAATGTATTAAATTACAAGGCTTTGCATATTATTTACTCTTCACTTATACTTCCATATCTTATTGTGTGGAAGTGTGGGGTTCCACATACAAAACAACAATTAACGATATAGTACTTTTACAAAAACGAGCCATACATGTTATTAACAAGTCTGGTTACTATGAACATACAAATCCACTTTTTATTACATTTGGTATCATGAAATTCTATGATTTGGTTCATTACAAAATAATGCAAATAATGTTTCGAGCAAAATTAGCTGTGTTGCTTGTTGGGGTGCAAAGATTTTTTTATAATATGTGAATCTCAGTATGATCTGCGATGTGTTATTAAATTTATAAAATGACAAGCTAAAAAAGAAATAAAAAGGAGGTATTTTTCTGTTGTAGGAATTAAAATATGGAATGATGCAAGCATGGATTTATGAGAATGTAGTTCATTAAGGGTTTTCAAAACAATTCTAAAAAGAAATATATTTGAGGGTTACAAGTGAAAATAACTTTAAATTGGATTGTTTGTATTCTTTGTTTTTTGTGTTTTTTTTTACAGCAATGATTATGAGGGGTAGTTTAGTTTAATTGGATGTGTAGGACAGGCATAAATATAAGCCTTGTGCTTCTGCCTGTACCTTTTTTAGTTGTTGCTGAACAATTTTTCATGACTGAATAAACAACAATCAATCAATCAAAAATGCAAAATAAATGCATGTTTAGATTTCATCTTTTCTCCCAGGTGTTGGTCTGGCTGCAGTTGTCCTCTCCTTTTGGTTAAACATCTACTACATCATCATCATCGCTTGGGCTCTTTACTACTTGTTCAACTCCTTTGGTTCGGTGAGTTCTGCTTTTTGCTTTTGTTATTTATGTTTATGAGGTGCTAAAGAAGCCAGATGGGACTATAAAAAATGACTGACATGAATCTTGAATGTGCATCGCAGGAATGAAAAAATGCTGTTTTATGCATTCAGCTGAAGGTTGAAAACAGGCGGTTCTTTAAATGTCATTTCCACTGCTGAATGGTTTGCCTTCTCGTTTCTGTTTGCAGCTGTTGAGTCACATAAAACAGGTGACTGAAAAGTCAAGGGCATACGTGGTAAACTCTAGGTTAGCTGGAAAAAAAAGAGCAGCAAATTGATGTAAAGTTTTGTTGGTTTGTCTTTTATTTGAGATAAATAATTCCACCTGACTGATTTTTGGCACATAACTCGGTAATTCGTCCTGTTTTGTGTGCAGGAGCTTCCTTGGCAGAGCTGTGATAACTACTGGAACACAGAGGACTGTTTTTCCAACTACAGCCTGGCGGACACCACCAACCTGACCAGTGCTGTCACAGAGTTCTGGGAGTAAGTCAGTAAGACCTGAGCCCACCTCATGGTGTAAGATGTGAAATAATTGGTGCCTTTGTTTGTCTAAAGCAGGGGTCACATCTTTTTCTGCCACTTGCATCCTTGTTTTCAGCATGTGGGTGTGTTTCCACAGGCGGAACATGCACCAGCTGACCGGTGGTCTGGAGGAGCCTGGAAAGCTACGCTGGCCGTTAGTGGGCACTCTGGCTCTGTCATGGATCCTGGTCTACTTCTCAATCTGGAAAGGAGTGGAGTGGACTGGAAAGGTCAGATTCTCTGATTTTTGTCCCTGTGTACTGTTATGTTTTTTGTGGAGATGGAAAAAGCAAATTTATATCAGCCTTTAGAAAAACCATAAAATGTCAGTTTTAAAGGGATCCCCGATTAGTTGCAACATTAGACTTTATTTGATAAACATATGTTTTTACTGTAAAATAAAGACTGTAAAAATACTGTRGGATGTTTAGTTTTTATCATTTTTAAACTAAAAGTTTAAAATTATATTACTTGGACAGAGCCATTTTATTTACAAGCAAAGCATTCTGGGTAAATGATGATGTCAACTAGGTCATCGGTGCGAAGCTGCTAGCGAGCTATATCCACCCTGAAGGTTAATCTTGGACAGTATCTGACAGTTGGCTCTTTTAAATGAAACCAGAGAGCGTTGACAGAGAGGAGAAGGTAGAAATGACTCAGCCTGTAACTGAAAATATGGATGGAGGACAACAGAGCTGCTTCATGGAAGAAGAACCTCAGCTTAGCCTGTTAGCTTTAGCGTTAGCACAGACGCTATCACCATATATATGTATTAGCTCAGCGCTACACATTCTCCTCTCGTCACTGAGGTCCTCCATCCACATGACAGAGAGGGGAACRCAAAAATGACTCAGCCTGCAGCTGAAAATATGGATGGAGGACCTCAGTTTAGCTTGTTTGTCGTGCTAGCACCGAGCTAATACATATAAGGCAATATAGCATCAGCGCTAGCACAAAGGCTAACAGGCTAAGCTGAGGTTGTTCTTCCATGAAGCAGCTCTGTTGTCCTCCATCCATATTTTCAGTTACAGGCTGAGTCATTTCTACCTTCTCCTCTCTGTCAACGCTCTCTGGTTTCATTTAAAAGAGTCAATCAGATATTGTCCAAGATTAACCTTCAGGGTGGATATAGCTCGGTTGTAGCCTTGCACCAATGACCTAGTTGACATCATCATTTACCCAGAATGCTTTGCGTGTAAATAAAATGGCCCCATCCGTGTTAAAATATATTTTTAAAAAATTACAAAACTAAACAACCTACAGTATTTTTACAGTCATTATTTTACAGTTAAAATATGTGTTTATCAAATAAAGTCTAATGTTACAACTAATCATGGATCCCTTTAAGTTTGACTGTCTGTATGAATGGATCAAACCACTGTAAGACTTTATGACTAGGGAGGGATTTCATTAAGCTGGTGTGATTTATAAAAATAAATCTCCCCTTCAACAGTGAGCTCAGGTGAAAATAGTTCTAAATTATTTTTTTTTACATCTTCACAATATATCAGAGATGCATCGTCACAAAATCAGTCTGAGCAAAAAGCAAATAGCTTGTGGATTTTAAAATGCACGTATAAAACAAACGTAAAGAGGAGAATGACATCAACTTGCCTGGAATTGCACATAATACCGTGTTGAAGCAAAGTGAGCAGAAACACATTTACTGCTCGGGATAATTGGATTTTAATGTGAGGCTTCTGAGAGAAGTAAGAAAACGATGAATCCTCCTCCTCCCCCCCAGGCTCTGGTGTTGATGGACATTACCAATTAGACATAATCATTATGCTACAGAACCCGGAGCTACATCCAGCAGCTTCTCGGGCAACAAAACACCACAGACTTGTTAAAAAAACTGAATCTTTGTGTTATTTAGCTTCTAATTAAGAATGCTTACAGTTATGTTGAGTTTGATGTGGATTTTTTTTTTTTTTTTGGTTTTATTAACGTGCACATAAAAACATCCTTTTTAGGTGGTGTATTTTTCTGCCACCTATCCGTACTTCATGCTGTTCATCCTGTTTTTCCGAGGGATCACACTTCCCGGCGCCATAGATGGCATCCTCTTCTACATCACTCCCGACTTCAACAAGCTCGTCCGATCTGAGGTAGTGATGTGCAGATCGATACTGAACTATCTGTACTACTGATACCAGAACTTTATATTCTAGAATCGATACTAAACTCAAAATATCGATACTTTGATACTTTAGTTATTTCACATAATGTACATCATTAACAGGAAAATAGTAGAAAATAACTAAATTATTCCAATCTTGTCCTAGTTATATGTGGTGGGAGGGAACTTTTCTTCCACTTGGCAGGTGTTCAGTCAGTCCACTCAGTCCACAGATGTATGGCAGGTCATTTTAACATAAAATCTGCTTCGTTTGTAATAAAATTCTAGATGAGGGGTTCCCAAACTTTTTCATGCCATGGCCCCCCAAACAGCATTAGCTCTGGCCAGGGACCTTCTTGCAAACCCMCAAACAAAGCTACAAAATATACACAGTAACAACTTTTAGAATATTTTTTCTCCCATTTATTCACTATTCAAAAATTATTATATTTCTTTAGAATAAGAATTTTAAATTGTGCTAAACAAATGTAGGGTTAGTGTTAGAAAGACTTTTAAATTAATAAATAAATTACTATGTCGTGCATGAGGAAATTAACTGGGTGTGTCCTTATTTTCTACCAACAATATGAGTGATTCCATTTTTTTTCCCTCTGCTTGGTCAATAAAAGTAACATTCACTGACTTCCACAATGTTTTCTCTTCATTTCTTTGAGTGTTCCTGAAAGCCAACAAGTTGCACTTTGGAATGACCTCATTATTGTATCATGTTTTTGATCTTTGTTTTACAGAATGAAATGGCTGAATGAGTGCTCATCCGGTGATTCCATACTTTTTGCCAGGGGTTGTACAAAGCGGTTATTTGAAAAATGCTACTTTTTTTTTAGATTTAACAGACACATTAGGTGTGTTTTCACAAAGCATCAGTATCGGATCGGTATCACCAATGCCAGCCAAATTTTACTTGGTATTGGTATCGGAAAGAAAACTGGCAGTATAGAACATCACTCTGAGGCACAGCCTCTGCTCGCGGCTAATCCCGAACACAAGAACTTGTTGTGCGAAAGTGACGCTCTGTTCCCGTAGGTGTGGCTGGACGCAGCGACTCAGATCTTCTTCTCCTACGGCCTGGGCCTGGGCTCGCTCATCGCACTGGGAAGCTACAACACTTACAACAACGATGTCTACAAGTAGGAACAGGCATCCTCTTTAATAATACATCTTGTTTTTTTTCTTTTCTTTGTTGTAACTTTCTCTTTTGATGCCATCTCTTAAGGGACTCTGTTATTGTGTGCTGCATTAACTCCTGCACCAGCATGTTTGCTGGATTTGTCATCTTCTCTATTGTTGGCTTCATGTCGTACATCACTAAGAGACCTGTGCAGGAACTGGCAGCTTCAGGTATTTTGAACATTGATTATTTAACAATTTTTTATGCATAAACAAATTAGTTTGCTGCCATATATCATAAAATAAAGCATTTCTGAACGATTTCTTTTGTGCCATAGGTCCAGGTTTGGCATTTTTAGCCTATCCTCAGGCAGTCACCCAACTCCCCATGTCTTCTCTATGGGCCATCCTGTTTTTCTCTATGCTCATGATGCTCGGCTTGGACAGCCAGGTACCAACAATCAACATGCAAACACAATAATACCCCAAGGGTCCTTTCAGATCATCAAGGGGCAATAGCACTACTCTGTGCACTGCTATTGTATCTTCTTGGCACTATTATGATTGTTATATGGACAAAGGCTCAATTACATGTTTTTGGCACAACTGGAACTCCATACTAACAATCTGAACAACAGTGCATTATAATTTGTGTTTCTGTTTTGGTTAGTTTTGCACAGTCGAAGGTTTCATCACAGCCCTCGTGGATGAGTATCCTCTGGTGCTGAGGAAGAGGAAGAAGGTCTTCATCCTCATTATTTGCTTGGTCTCCTTCATCATTGGTTTCTCCAATATCACTCAGGTGGTCTATATTCTGTTTTAATTGTTTTTTTTTGTTACATGTACCCTACAGCAAAGACAGGCACCTTGTTTAGTGTGTGTGATAAATCAAGCTCTCCACCACCTGCAGCGAAAACCCGTGCTGTAATATTAAAGAAAGTGATGAGTTAATATTCTATCTGTGTGTTTGCTGAAACCTCTCCAGGGTGGTTTGTATGTCTTCAAGCTGTTTGATTACTACTCGGCCAGCGGGATGTGTCTTCTCTTCCTCGTCTTTTTCGAAACAGTGTCCATAGCCTGGTTGTATGGTACGAAACTTGTTTTTATACCTTTTATCCCCCCAGTTAAATCAAATCATAGTTTAACTAAACCGAACAACTAATCTGAGTGACCCTGCATGTTGAAGGTGTCTGATAGGAAATCACAAATATCACCGGACTTTTCAATTTTTTCTCCTTCTTTGTTTTGCTATTTTCATCTCCACATTTATCCGTTTTTATCTCAGGGGCTGAAAGATTTTACAAGAACATCGAGGACATGATTGGCTATCGGCCATGTGTCTGGTGGAAGCTTTGCTGGCTCTACTTCACGCCTCTGATCTGCCTGGTATGAGGAAAATAATTCTCATTACCTCTGCAACAGATTCACCTCTGATAAAGTTTCCTCCAGCCTTAAGGAGATCAACGATTTACCCCATTTACTCTGAGCAGTCGTCACAGAAACAAACATAAGAAGAATATGATTGCTTCATAATGCCATCTATCTTATTGGTTCCTTATACAACACCTTTCCCTGTTGAGAGGAAAGGTGTAACCTCATGTTTATTTGCAGGGGGTGTTCACCTTCAGTGCCATCGAAATGACCCCGCTAACCCTTGGAAAGTACGTGTACCCGCTTTGGGGCCAAGTTGTCGGTTGGCTTATGGCTTTGTCTTCAATGATCCTTATCCCAGGCTATGCAATCTACATGTTCTGCACCACCAAGGGCAGCATCAAACAGGTACATCTTCCTGCAGAGCTCAGTGTTACAGGGATATTTAGTTTTTGTAAAATCTGCTGCATAAACTTTTACCCCTCTGGTTTCCCTTTATTATGACCCCCGCACGTGAAGCGTAAGCGGGAGTCATTGTTTTCGTACTTTTTCTTTTTCCTGCGGAGATTTTTGGTCAACCGTAGCACAAAATTGGCTGCACTGATCAACATGAAATTTGGCAGGACTGTAGATGAGTCTGACCTACACTGCGCCAGCCAAAGGGTTTACAATAGACCCTATATTTGAGGAGGGGGCTCCTTTCAAAGTGGTGGTGTCAGGACATGCAAAAATGCTTATAACTCAGACTGCTCAACATACAGTGGTTTGCAAAAGTATTCATACCCCTTGAACTTTTCCATATTTTGTCACATTACAACCACAAACATAAATATATTTCACTGGA